GTTGTCAACTACATTAAATCTGTAGGCTGGCTCATGAGCTAGGAGGTGCCTATCATCTCAGGAGGATGCACAATGGGCCTAATGAGGCCTAAGTACCGTTGGGGTAACCCACGCTCCACACGTTACAGATACAGATACTAAGCCTATCATTTTTAAATACGTCGCATTGTATAATATTATGCTTTCTGACTTTCCCAACTCTTCAAAAAAAAAAAAAATTCATTTTTTTTTTCTACATTACTTTTCATACTTTTTGTTGGATACATCTTCACAGATTTAGAAAACACATCCACTGCAATTCAAATATTTGAGTTACCATTCTCACTTTTAATCAGATTACTAATAAAATCAATAGTAATTACCTCTAAACACATCCTTGCACACGAGGTTTTTACCACATTTTTGCATCTCATGTTTTTCCTTTTCTAGCTAACATACATGACGGATCGCGGAATTTTGTTTAAAAATTTTTGTTCGATTCTTTTTGTTCGAATGAATTTTGTTCGAACACATTTTGTTCAAAAGTTATTTAGTTTGAAAACATTTTGTTCGAAAGTTATTTAGTTTGAACACATTTTGTTCGAATATCTAATTTAAGGCACATGATAGGTTATAATATGGCAGAACTGTAGGCCTGGTGGTTTGATCAATGAAGAGGAAAGGAATAGAATGATAACTGCCAATAAAAAAGTATAGACACTATGCACAATACGCTAGTTCAGTAATGATGTAATTAAAGTGACAGTAGATTTTTGAGTGCGTTTTGTTCGTTTTGTTTGCTTAAATTAAATCGTTTTTTCACTTTTATATATTCCTAAATTAAGTAGACATGCATCAAATATACAAACGTTTAGTTACCAATTACATACCTTTAAACTATTTTTTATGACCTGTAAACAATATTTATAAATAAACTAAAAACAGTAAAAACGTAAATGTCAAATTTGTTGATGTTTTTGTTAAAAGTTTGGTTAGAATTAAATGTCAGTTGAACCAAAATGACATCACACCGAACTAGCGTATTTCGTTTTTCACATTTTGTAAACAAGATTCAGGGACGGTTTAACAACATTTTATGCAACAATTATAAAATAGTGCATCGGAAAATAATTAATAAGTATAATTTAATACTAAATCGAAATCAAAGCACAAAAAATCACAAATATAAGCGAGATAACAAAGAATTGACGCCAAAAAAGCTTACAACAGCCACAACACAAACAAAAAACAGAGTTGAACATGAATATAATAGCTGAACAAAGCCAATCCTGGAATTTGTTTACAGTGCTTTAGGGCAACCTCTCCTTGTCATTTACGTGTGTAAGAGTGGAAGGTTGAATCATGCATAATTTCTACACTCGTGATGGATTTGCAGACGGAACGTTATCATTCTACCCTCTCTACTTCTTTGACTTTTTTGGGTTTGTTAGGGTCAATGATATAGATAGTTATATGGATTGTTCATCCATTTTTTTAAAAATAAACATAAGAGAATTGAAGTTAAAATGTAGGCAATTATTATTATTATTTTTTTTTTAATTTTCAAATTATCCAAATTGGTTTTAAAACACATTTTTGCTAAACTGATTCAAATTAATGAACACTTGCCAGGCAATATGGCCGCTCGCAAACGACCCGCTTTGAGCAATCTATATAACTATATATGTATCACTGACCCTTTGAATGACAACAGGCCTACAATGTTGCCATATCTAAACTGTCAGTATCCACCGGCAGCATTTTGACAGGTCGTTGGAATGCCTAATTAATATTGTGGTTATACAAAAAATAAATAATCATTACATTTACTTTAAAAGATATTTACATTTCTAATCTTATTAGATGTAAAATATACAAATGTTTGAAATCCATATTCTGATAAACTACTTTTAATGACATTCATCTTCAAATATTACCGCCAAACCTAAAAAAATTAACCTAGGTAAGTGCAGGGAATAACGCCACCCTAACGTTTAGATGTTTCTATTATGGAAATAAATAAACTTACATTTTTCGAAAAAATGTATACAGACAAAGGGCATATTAACATTTTACTGAAATGAACATAGTTTATTAAAATTTTAATAATTTCGGTTGTACATTAAAAATTAAAAAAAATGCAAAGTGGCTTTATTGCTAAGACAGGGTAAGCAATAATGCCCCATACTGAAGATACTCAAACTAGAAAAATAAAATTTCAAAAACAATATGGACATATGTAGCCTTCCTCCTTATCATCCTTTGTCAGTCCTATGTATTCATCATGCAGGTAGCCGAAGAACAAAAATGCATATCAGCCACTCTTTCCTCCTTGCATGCTTTGCAATACCAACTCTCTGTATTTTTACTGGACATTTTTTTAATGGTCTTTGGTTTAAATTTGCCTTTGGATTTGTTCACAGAGCTGGTAGAACCTGTTTTAGCATTAGTGGCAGATGTAGTTCTCTGTGCATCAGGATGTTCAAAAAGATATTTTTTACATCTTGTGCTTTGCTGCTAAGAGCCGGTTTTCTATTCCTCGTAGATGTGCGTGTTGGTTCTGGAGTAGGAAGCATCTTGGAAAACGATGTATTGACAAAATTGTATTCTTCAGGAATAACATTTTCTTCATCGTCACAATCAGGTGATTCCCACTGTTCTGTGTCACTAGTATCGCTGGAGTCACTATCTCTAGGCTGGGTGTGATAGAAGCGGCGCTTTTCAACTAACTGTTGTCTTCCTGATGGACCTGGTTCTGGAGTTACTTCTCTATTTATTCTGTCAACTAACACTTGCCCTTGAGGACCTGCTATTTCAGGGATAACCACTTGGTATTGTTCTGCTACCTTATGGGGCTCATCAAGGTTTTGATTCTCAGTAACAGCACTTGGTATATACCCACGCAGAAAACCCTGATTTTATATTGTTTGGTGTCATAGACTTATCCCAAATGGTTAGCCCAGAATTTTAATACTTCATCATCCCAAAAATGTTCAAACGAACTGTCCAACGGCTGTAGCTCGTGAGTGGTGTTGCTTGGCAAGCAGTAAAGAGTTATTTCTAACTTTTCAGCGCATGTTACTAGTGTGTAATCTAAATGGGACTTCACACCATCAAATATTAACAAACAAGGACCAGGTAACTTAAAGCTTGCAAAATGACGAAGCCATATTTTAAATGCTTCGATTGTCATACTGCCCTTTGCACTCATCAGCGCTCTACTTCCTGGCGGAAAATTATCAGTCCACTCTGCCTTCATTCTTTTGCCCTTAAACGGAATTATAGGGGGAATAGAAACTCCCATAGCATTGCCACATGCAACTACCGTTACGTTCTCTGCATGCTCTTTGGCTACAAGATGTACCCGTTTTGCTCCTTTTTTTGCGAGTACTCCTTGCTGATGATGCAATGTAAGAAGGCATCTCTTTTCATCCATATTATACAGAAATTGGGCCTTTTCCATAATATCTAACTCTGTTATTATTTGTTTAAGTTTTTTAAAATGATCGCCGACAATAAATTTGTTTAATTTTTGAGCTCTGGCAGGATTCATATTTTGAGCTCTGCGAATTCTGATTTCTGGATGCCTATTAAAAAACTGTTTTAACCAGTATCGGCCTGCCATTTTCTTTTGTGCATTAAATGGATTTGTAATCTTGTTCAGTTCGCAAAAAGTATATACACATCGACGCAAAACTTTACACGTAAATGGGTATCCTATTTCGGCCAAACGAAGTATTCTTTTAGACAGTTCTTCTTCATTGTCAAGAGAAAGAATAGTTTTTCGTCCCATTGCACGTTTGGCCGTAAATCCTTTTTTTATGTAATCTCGCAAAGTTCTACGTGGCATGTTAAATCTTGTGCTAGCTGTTTTTACAGCCATGCCATTATTGATAGTACCCAGCGCCATTTCCAAAATTTTTGAGCTCCACTTTACTCTTACTCCTCGGTTTCTTTGTTTATGCATCTTTAGTCTGTCTGCAAAATAACAAAATTGCACTCTTAAAACGGTAGTTGACAATAACGCCACTGGCGTTACTGCTAACTATCGCCTGTGGCGTTAATGTTAACAGTTACAGATATGAATAAAAAATTGTGTACCAAATAAAAAAAAAAAAACATTATAAAAGCGCAATTTTTCAAACAATAATCCTGATTGACGACACAATAACCTCTGTAATTAAAAAAATACTTACACTCCAATTTGAGCACGTGCACCACACTTTCAAAATTCGTTTTCTTATAGTGACACTCAACAATACGTCCTTACTAGACAAATCTCGCCTCATAACTGCCGATAGAAGTGCATTGGCCGTTGGTTCTGCTTCTTGACTTACCACCCAACATCAGATCCCAGTGCCACCTGTTCGTTGCGTAAGAAAGTTGCCGAACTAATGGGGTATGGTGTTATTGCCAGAGTGGCGTTATTACCTGCACTTACCTTATAAAAACGAAATTAAAACTAATTATTTGGTTGTTATTTGCGTTTCTTTTCCTTTTTAATTTTGTTTACTATTTACATGCATACCTTAGGTAAAAATTAGCTAAAATGAATCTTAAACACAGATCAAAGCGTTGTTGTTAAGCATTCCCCTGACATTTTAAAGGACTCCGTTAAAATTAATCATTTCTAATAGGCCCCTAAAATGTTTGAATACGGAGTACCGTGTATGAGTAAAAAAATAACAGGCGGTTAAAAGTTACATCTTTAAAAACCTTTAAAGGTTAAAAGAAGTTCTACAGAATAGACCACACAAAACGCAAACCCATTCCTGATTAATCTGCTTCCAAAACTAGGTACCTTTGTATCACATGTAGTGATCTAATAATTTTAAATTATTTTTACCATTTTTTTTTTATCTATAATAATGTATATTGAACTTTGAGTTATTCTTATTTCATACCTCTTATCTAAGTAAAACAGTAGTGTCACTTTTATTATAAATGGATTTACTGGAAACAAATTTGAAAAACGAAATCAAATATAGTTAAGATAACGATCTCTATCCTCATTACTTATTAACTCAACCTAGATTTCTAAAGTAAAATTATTAACCAAAACTATGGCGGTGTTTGTAATGCCAACTAGAGAAAAAGTTGTTCATGTTTCGGAAATTGTGTTTCAACAAATTTTGGCCGTATTTGTGATACTTGTGATATGGGAGATATTTGAATCATCCAATTACCATGTAGCATCGAAGGAAACATGGCATATAGTTTTTTGTGTACTAGGCGTAAGTAGTAACAATATAAGATAAGATTAAATAAAACTAATCCGTCGTTTTAAAATATACCGAGTGTGCACAGATATTGCAGTGGATATTCTAGAATTGGTGTGTTTCTTACTAGCTTTTTTTACATACTTTATTTTCAAATATAAATCTGAGTATCCAGTACAGCAAAATGAACGTTTGTATTTAACTATGTTAAAAAAGGCTAACGAACTTGTAAAAATAGGGAGACAAAAAAAACCGGAACTAGACAGGTGTATTAAAGATTATAGTAAGATATAATAGGGCCATGTTCAAAAGAAATAGGATAATTGTATAATTAAGAACCAATTTATAATAACCAGACTCATAAATGCGTAATATAGTTGTATATTCATGTCTTTGATTAAAAAATAATAACAAATAATATCTAATATTAACTATTGAGATGTATTACCTGAATTTGATAACATTTTTTGTCTTGGAGATTTTAATATAGATCTGTCACAAATAAATTCTAATGCATCCCAATAATTAAACTCTATGTTGGAAGGTAATAAATAATAATGGTAATAAATTCAACAACCCAGATACTGCCAAATTCACAAACACTAATTGATTTAATAATTATTACATAAAGGTGTGGATCACATGTCTCGCCATGTCCATTGCGAATTAACATTAGCCTCAGGAAAACGACCTACATAATTCAAAACAATCAGAGATTTAAAAAATTTAGATGAAATTGCTTTTCGCGCAGAACTCGAGGACATACCTACCTTCCCATTTAATTTATGGTATAAAAGATATTAATGAAAATATTGCATTTTTCTCTAATATCTCTCTTTAATAAGCATGCTCTCTACAAAAAAATAATAACACGAAAATACAATCCCTGGCTTACAGAAACTATCAGACTGCTTATGAAGCTACGTAACAAGGCAAACACTAGAAAAAAACAAATATTACTGCCCATTTTGAATATTACAAGACGCTATGAAATTATATTTCTCTTGAATGCAAAAATAAAAAAAAAATATTTCGAACACAAAATTAGAAATGAAGGTAATGCCATATGGAAAAACTTAGAATATCTAAATCTAATTGAAAACTAAATTAGGTATTTCTGATAGTTTCGAATTATTTTTTAAATGCAGTTCCAAATATTTCAGTTAATCAACATGTTATGAATGAATATATGAACAGAATACCTGAAAGAAATTTATTTTTACTCCCGTAACTGTAAATCAAAAATTATTATATAATATTAAAATGCCCAGGGCACTGACGGTCTAATTTTCTAAATTTAAAAATGATACTGCAGTGTTCTCCCTTTATTGTCTAGCACATTTAATAAATTACTGTCTTGAAAAAATACTTTTCCTAATCTGTGGAAATAATCTTGCCCATTTCAAAAGTAAATAACACCATTGAATTTAAAGATCTGAAGCCAATTAGCATACTTTATCTAAAATTATTCAACAAAACCGTGTTGTTCCTTTGGTACGAGTACTACGTTATGCTCTGTGGAAAAGTTAGTCATGACTATGAAGACTAGATATAAGGACACGAATCAGCATATTCAAAATACGGTCCCAAAAAAACGCTTCTATAATTAACCGCATGGGCGCTGGTACTGCATACGTTGTTCAAAATACATGGCTTCTTATGGGAATTATATATAATTTTGTCAAAATAATAAAAATAAAGTTGTTTACAGCTAATTAAAGCACAGAACATACTGTTGTATTTCTATATAAGTCTTGCATGTTTTAATTGATAAATTATTTAATTTTATCTATATAAAATACAAATTAGGTATGTATGACCAAATTCGAAAAGGTTTCTTAATTACTGAAATTTGATAAGCACAATTTTTTGGCAATTTTTTTTTTTGAATTGAACCAATATATAGTTTTAAGAGTAAACTAAAACACAGTTAACAGATTTTTTATTGTTGTAATACATACAAGTATAAAGGGAGATTTGGGAATGTACATGGTATTACCTCATCCTTTAATTTCAGCTTTCCCCTTTTTATTTTGCTAACAGTACCATCAGTAAAAATAGTCTAATAATAGTTGATAATATCTTCTAAAAAGTATAGAACAGCATCATCTCTAGAAAGTGCTTTACCGGCACTAGGAACCATATATATGCTGCCACTGTTCTAAACGTTTAGTATCCTATAAAAAATATTTATAATGACACAACTGGTGTAAAAAAAACTAACACTAGCAACTCTTTATCTAACTTTAAAACTTCATAAATAATAAATTTTTTCTGCTATTAAGTTAAATTTAATGCATAATTATTGTTGTTTGTAAGTCAGCATCTATAACTGTAAAATTTTATATTATACAAACTCATAATAAAATAAACTACCCATCGTAAGATACATATTGTGACTAGTTTACAATAAATATTATATTTAGACATGAGTAAATTATTTTACTTACATTAAAAGCTTTAAAAAGACATTGAATTGATTTCTTCTTGTGTTTTCTTTAGTTTTACATTTGATTTTTATCCTGTTTTACAATCTGAAACGACGTAAATCTTGCTTTGATGTTTTTTGTCACTCATGTTACTTGTACTTAGGTACTTTTTTTCATATTATTTTGATTCTTTTCATCAATTTTTTAAATAATCACTTTATTTTACATTGACTTACATAGAAAATTGACTGCGCTGTCATTAGACATGCCAACTACAGTCAATTTCGCGAACTTTTTAAAAAGAAGGACGGAAATTTGACATTTGACCATTGCCGATTCGCCTCCTTCTCTCTAGCCTTCATAGTCATGACATCAACTACGATAGTTTTCATAATTTTTGATAGTATAGACAAAAGACATATAGGTCTTTAATTTGACGCAACTATTTTGTCACCCTTTAGCCATGACGCGGCCGTGACTGACGCAATTTTCCATAGGCCGGGTAAATTAGACGTATTAAAAGACATGATCATGATTGTGGAAAGTGGGCCGGAAACTGCATTTGCATACTTTTTTAAAAAGATAGAACTTAGTCCATCAATACCAGGAGAAGAGTGGCTCTTCAACGTAAATAATTTATTTCTAACCTTTTCGGGACTAAATTGCACTTGAATTTGAATGAACTGTTATGTATCCTCGTGCTTATTATATGTGGTAGTACGGTAGCTATAGGTTGTATGTTCATTTGTAAATTCAGAAAAGTAAAAGTATTTAAGCAATTTGAATACACATATTTGTAGGATTTTTTGTGATTTTCTGAGTTAACAAAGTTACCTTCATAGTCCCTTCTCGCTGAACGAATTATTAGTTTTAAGAAATTAGAGAAGTTTCTGTGAGAAAGAAAGTCCTGTATATTTTTAGAAATCTTGTACTTTGCCGTTTATGATGAATAATACGTCATCACTATTTTTGCAGTTCTTCTTGGTAAAAGAATGTTTGTTAATTATTTCATTAATTGTATATAGAAAAATGTTCCACATTTTATTAACATTGTTGAACTGTTTTAAAATATCATCGAAGTTGATAGTTTCTATGTTCATTTTGACACAGTTGTAGTTGGTCACTCTGTATAAATCGTTACACTTTCAATATAATCTGGAATTTGGGTTATATTACTGAATGGTTTGAAATGCCTATTGGGAGAAGATGTTAAAAGAGTTTGGAGCCAGCCAAAAATTGCATCAAATTACTTGTTGAAGTGTCTGAATCTGGAATACGAGTTATAGGCCAGGAAATATCGAGAAAATTAAACTTTCAAACTTACTGTATTTTGTAGAGTCGAGAAGTTGTTAAGTTTATCAATTAATGTTTTAGTTGAATCTTCGCAGGGATCGATCACCAGGTAGGTCTATAGATAGACCTTTACGGATATTCAACAATATCTTATCTATACCTGCTATTTTTGGGATATCAGTGTCAATTGAAAAGTTTTGGATATTTCTTTAAAAATATATTATTATATCAGATCGGAATTTTGTGTATCCATGGACAGAAACAAGCGAGTCTGGATCTGATGGTTTTAGCCACGTTTTTTTTTATATTATATAATATATGCCAATTTAAGACTCCGCATTTAACAATGGTGTAGACCTAAAAGCAAATCTAAGGCTGCCCCTGCATAATTACTGTCTATGCTAATATTGATAATGACGTCATTTAAACAGTAACACATTGTAAACTCTAAATAGATAATAAAAAATTTTAGAAAAGTTTATCATATTTATACCTATATAAAATACCAATAACATTAAAATATGATTTATGACAACTATCGCCTGTGTAAAAGTATCTATAAAAATCGATTAAGAAATAAAGATTAATTTTTATTGTTAAATAGATATTTGAAAAACATATTATACACATTGGCTAAATAGTTTGTTAAACATATAAAATTATACCTTTATAATTATATCACTTACAATATAATAATTTCTTATTAATAATAGATAATCATACACCGTACTTGACTACTATAGCTGAAAATCATGATTGGTACATCAATGCTGTAACCAGGCATGGATTTACCACTAGGCCCACTAGGCCCGGGCCTAGGGGCGCACGGCTCCAAGGGGCGCACTGTCATAAAAAAAATCGAAATCAAATGTTTTTAGTTTACAGTTAGTTAGTCACTTGTCGTTGTCGTGGGTCGTTGTCACTAGTCAAGTCACCCCAGTGCTTTGTTTTAAATCTGTGCTTTGTTCGCGTGTTTTCTAATGCTGATTTGCGTTATCTTAATATTCAACTTTTACAATGTGGTCCATACGGCATTACTTTGTTGTTGAAAATAAGTATTTTATATTGTTAAAGTAATCATGAGTGTTTAATAATGAGCTTTAAATCAAAACCTAGTGGTGCAGAGTTTAGAAAAATGCGCGAAGAAAAAGATGAGAAAAATAAAAAAGTTATTAAAAAAGTTCCTAAAATAACAATTTTTTTTTTCACAAAATGTTCAAAGTCAAGTTAGTAATGATGGTTACCGTGAAAATGTACAGGCTGTTTCCCATGATGCTTCTAACAGTTTCAACGCCGAAGAAATTGCTTTTGAACCCGATCTTGTACCAGAACTTCAAAATAAATCTGCTGATGCTGAAGACGGAGTTCATGTAGAACGTGGTAGAGGTAGTGCAGCCTTTTTCAGTTCCGATCCGTGTTTATGGGATGTAAGTGATGAACTAAGAGATTATATTTGTACCCAAAGTAGTGTAAAGCAAAATAGTGACTCCGATTTTAATGAATATAAAAGACCGTATCCAGATAAAATTCGCGCATTTCCAAACGGTTTCAATGACTAGAAAATGCTAATCAATGTGTAAAAGACCATGAAAACAGTTTTAACCATAGAAACAGTTTAGAAAAACTAAAAATAGAACTTAAAGTCCACTATTGTAGGGAGGTACTTAAGAGAGTGGTGACAGCTGTTAAATATTTAATTGTGCATGGGTTGGCTCTCCGAGGATCCGATGAACACTTAGATAAACTGTAGAAACTTCATTGAACTTCTGAAATTTCTATCTCAATTCGACCCTTTTATGGCCGAACATTTACGTCAATACGGCGACCAAGGTTCGGGTAGTACGTCGTACATTTCGAAAACTACTCATAAAGAATTTATCGCCCTTATGGCAGAAGAAGTTAGGGACACAATTTTGAAAGAAGTTTAAGAAGCAAAATACTTTGGCATTGTATTTTGGCATTATATTAGACCCCACGCCGGACATTTCACATGTGGACCAACTTACCTTCGTAATTAGATATGTTGCTATTGATAGCATGCCGATAGAGATATTTATTTGTTTTGTGCCAAATGTTGGTCACAAAACAGAAGAGAAAGTAAACACAGTATTGGGCCTTTTTGAAAAATGTAATTTGGACATTTCCAATTGTAGAGGCCAATCATATGATAACGCCTCGAATATGTCAGGCATTTACTCTGGAGTTCAAACTCGTATCAAACAGCTCAGTCCTCTGGCGGAGTATGTACCTTGTTCTGCGCATTCCTTAAACCTAGTAGGCTCGTGTGCAGCTGAGTCATGCAAGGAGGCTATTTCCTTTTTTGGATTACTGCAGGAGCTGTATAACTTTTTTAGCGCTTCACCACATAGATGGACTATTTTGACAAGAAACAGCATTAAAGTTGCAAAACCTTTCAAAGACTCGGTGGTCTGCTCGTCACGACGCCTGCCGAGCTGTTAATGAAACCAAATAGGTCATTTTTAAAAGTTTAGATGAAATTGCTAGTGACTGTGACGAGAGGCACTCCACAAGAAATGAAGCCAGGACTATAAATGAAAAGCTAAGTTCCCTAGAGACAACCATTATGGCAGCACTGTGGGGCTCAATTCTGGAAAGGTTTAATAAAGTAAATGTAAAGCTACAGTACGAAATCACAGAGCTAGGGAAAATAGTTGCCTATTACGACTCTTTGTGTGGTTTTCTTCAAGAAGTAAGGAACAACTTTGATGACCTGGAACGATCAGCGAATGAGAAGTGTAGGAAAGAGTATGTGGCTAATAATCGGCGCAAAAAAAAGGTACCTACTAAGTTTGGTGAATATGGTGGTCCTAGAGTGATGATCAATTTACAGGGTCGGAAAACTTCCGTGTTAATACTTTTAACTGCATATTGGACTCCCTATCCTCTGAAATTAAGAAACGTGAGTGTACATATTCTGATCTTCACAATAGGTTTGATTTTCTTGAAACTGTCAAAAGTCTTGAGACATCTGATATCACCAAATGTGCAAGAAAACTATCGAGTGCGTATCATGAAGATCTTGAGCCTGTTGTTGTGGACGAGTGTTTACATGTAAAAGCATTTTTGTTGAAAAACTGAAAACGAAAATACCAGAAAGAGTATGACTGAAATTAGCAAGGTTTTGTATAATTTTGACATGGTTGGAGTCTACCCTAACATTGCCATTGCGTTAAGAATGGTTCTTAGTGCTCCAGCCACTAACTGTTCAGCAGAAAGATCCTTCTCCACCCTTCGTCGTGTGAAGAACTACCTGAGATTCACAACTAGCCACGACAGTTTGACATCACTAGCCCTGCTCGCCATCGAGGGGAGACTAACTACTTCCTACGGTAGAAAAATTTGCGCGAAAGAAAGCAAGAAGGTTTTATATATCTGTATTGTTCACATTTTATGTATTATATAGTTGTAGTTTTTATTTCTACATAAAACTGATTGTTCACTTGGCTCAAAGAATTATTATTTTCATTTGATTGGCCCTGAATTCGATTGAGGTTACTTGTAATATTAAATATTATTTACCTTTTCCAATTCTGTTTTGTGTTAACACTAAGGGGCGAAACTTGTAGTGCTAACAAAAAACAAAATTGGAAAAGGTTATTAATATTTAATATTATAAATAATCCAAAGAATTATCTTTAAATAAATGATTAGTTCGCTGTTAACAAGTATTCATTTGAATAAATTTTATTTCAGTGTATGATGGGGGGGGGGGGGGGGCCAAATTTATTCGGGCCTAGGGGCGCTGTAATGGTAAATCCGGCCCTGGCTGTAACTATCTTGTCATGTTTTGCCATTGCTTCTCTAATGTAACTATAAATTATTAAGGTGTCATATTTTAATAATTCATTAAAGAATGGGCCAAACTTCAGATGTGGTTATTTTGGACAAAAATAAGTTCATTTAAACCAATTCACTTTTGTAAGGTGGAGAAAATATTTTTTTTTCAATATTTTTACGATAAATCAAATATTTTTTGTGTAAATATACCCAAAGTTTATGCAAAGTAAGTTTTTTTGGATGATACGAACGAATACTAGCTTTCTTGTTGCATTACATGTTCTAAATTGGCGTGCCAATTTAGTATTTTCTTCAGATTTTTTTTAAGCATAGACGTGATAAATGATTAATTATTTTGAAAAAGCGTAGTATTGCAAATGTACGGATTACTCCAAAATTTCTCAATTTGATAATGTTAAATCTAAAGATAATTTATTAATTATAGCAAATTAATTCAGAACTTTATTAAATATTTAGTAGATACTGAAACAACGCAAAAATATGACAACATAAATGATAAAGAATATTTAAAAATAACAAATTGAAAAACTTAACAATTTCAAACTAAGAACAATAGTAAAAGCGAAAAATTAATTTGAAATTATTTGTTCAAAATGAATGGTCTTGTCGAATAACATTAGCCGCTATTACTATTTTTTGCCACAATTCATTTCTGGTATTAACAGTAGGGCCAGAATAAACTAGAGTCTTAATATAACCCCAGTAATAAAAATCCAGAGGGTTCAAATCTGGACTACGTGCAGGCCATGGATGTTCACTTCCTCGTCCAATTTATCGATGAGGGAATACGTTATTTAAATGATTTCGTACTGCTATAGAATAATTGGCAGGGGAGCCATCTTTTAAATACCACTTACCAACTCTAATATTTAAGGAAACATCATCTAGCAGATCAAATAAGTTGTACTCGAGGAAATGTAAGTAATCATTTCCAATCATTTTTGCTGGAAATTCAAAAGGTTCCATAAAATTATCTTCGATTATACCAAAACAAAAAGTTTAATTTAAATTCATGCTGAAAGTGCCACACTCTCATACAGTTTGGATTTTCTACAGTCCATGTGTGAGCATTTTTGTAGTTGAAAATTCCTCTTCTCGTAAATGTTGCCTCATCAATCAATATAATTTTATTTACATAAAATGGATCTTGTCTGCTTTTATTTAAGACAAACTGACTAAAATTTGTTCTCGCTAAGAGATCATCTGGCAGTAGATTTTGGACTGGAGTTAAATGGTACGGGTATAATTGTTGTTCATGTAAAATATTAGAAGCAAAACCTTGACATAAACCAACATTGGCAGATATACGACAGATACTTGTTGCTGGGTCATCTTCAACAAGATTTAATACCTCTTCCTCCTGCTGTAAATCTCGAACCATAGGTCGTCCATTTTTGGGCGAAAACTTCCGTTTTCTCTTAATCTGCTGAATAGACATGAAAACAATTTTCGGTTGGACTGTCTATTATTGGGATACAAATCTGTGTAACTTCTTGCTGAAGCGTTGAAATCCTATTGGACGTAAACTGATATCATATCGGTCATTTCACTGTTTGAGAAAAAGTTATGTTACGGCATTGTATAAAAATAATGAATCTTATCGCTCAGAACTCTGATGCTTGTATGCAAGACTAATTCTGACAGTGCTACTACATTTGACAACCGCCTATTAGATTTAACATTATCAAATTGAGAAATTATGGAGTAATCCATACATTTGCAGTACTAACTTTAAATAAAGTTTTTCTTCAAATTGAAGCAAATTGAACGCTTTTGCAAAATTATTAATCATTTCTTAAAAATGTCCATTCTTAAAAAATCTGAAGTAAATACTAGATTTTCACGACAGTTTAGAACGCCCTGTACATATAATGCAATGAAAAAGCTGGTATTCATTTGTATCACCCTAAAAAACGTACTTTCACAAAATTTGGGCATATTTACTCAAAAAGTATTTCAATTATCGTGAAAATATTGAAAAAAAAAATTATTTTCTCCACACTGTAACTTTCTTAAGCAAGCAAAATTCTACTGAGGTAAATTGGATTAAATGAACTTATTTTTGTCCAAACTAACTGCATCTGAAGTTTGGCCGATTCTTTAATGAACACCTTGTATAATCTATGTTTTCGATTTAGTACAACTTATACTAGCGGGAATATGAATAATAACATAAATTAATGTACTTGTGTTTGTACATGATATAAATTTTCACAACACGTTTCGTTTATTAGCTTATGCGATTATCGGTAGTCACAATACCACTTGTTGTATTTTATGTACATGACAAGTTCCTACCTGATTATCAATAAATATTTAATTTTTTCTAATTTAAATTGGCAATGTTTGTGGGGAAGGATTACTAATACACAACATACAGCTAGGTACTATCTTGTAATAAAGTTTTATATTATTTACATACATAATTAATATACTAATAATTGGCATCGTCCTTTAAAAATCATTAATTTTGATTTAATTGTTTCTATAATTTGCTTTACAAGAATGTATAGCCCAAGAGCCCACTGCAAATTTTGGTCGTCATCTGATAACGAAATGAAAAATGCCCCGAAGGCATGTCAAAACCTTGTACTTTACTAAACTGCAA